GTTTCCTATCTTTATCATGTGGTGCAACTCCGTTCGCATTATGGTGCAAGCTACCATCAGAAGGAGTGGCAGAGCTGTTAGAAACAGTAAGTCCATTGGAAGACATGTCGAATAAGATCAACAGTTACAATATTAAAAGTAAGATAAAAAATATAGTGTTAGTTCGATGATGGTATACGTCTGCAGGTTGTCTAGAGCAAAGGAAAAAAGAAACGAACTTATCTCTTGCTTGATGCACAGATGGATGAAAGAAAAGAAAAAAAAACATCTGCATCCTCTCCCTTGTAACAAAAAGCAGCGGTCGTACTTTGCCTTATTTTACACAACCTTTAATCCTTTTTCTTATCTTACACAATTAAAGGAGCGCTTGTATATCATATCACAAGATTCACTTCGCTTCTTCTCGTGATGGATGCTTCTAGCTATCATAGAATGGTCTATTTCAATTCCTTCTCAATTGAAAGCAAAAAACGCACTTTAATTTTATATGAAATGGTGGTTCAGAGGCCTAAGGATGAGTAGCTCCTTCTCGTAGCACTACGGAGCTTGGTGGCCCTAGAGAGTGTATAGCTCTCAGCTATTCCTTTTTTTCAAATAGGGTCGAGATCTGCATATATGTGAAAAGTAAAATTTCAATGGAGTTATTGAATATGTTATCTTTGCAAACATGAAATTGAGGTATTGAACTATCCATCGCTGATTTCAGATATTCGGATCTCTCTGGCTCAGGGTTACATGAATAGACATACATATGAGTCACTGCACGAGAGAGACGACTGAATGCCAATATAGGTGCTCAATCGATAGACTCAGACTTTGATGAAAGTTATCTCATTTTGTAGAGCAAATTTTTTTAGATATAGAACCAAATTTTTAGATTTAAAAGCTTGAACTTTGACTGAGATACACTCATCCGACTAATAGCACCCAAAATAGACTTTTGTTAATATCAGAAATTTTCGGTCAATCTGTTGTGTAAGCTATTTGGACGATATCTCATCACCACCAGTACTCGATAAAGCTCTGAAATTTTGACCAGATATATATTTTGAGATGTAGAATACAATCATCATATTCAATAATCTCCATATCTTCAAGAAGTATGACTGAATTTTTTGAGATCATCCCTGATTTCCCTATATATTAGGATCAAAAATAGTCTATTTTGATGATAGACTTTCTCCAAGTAAGTGTGATAGAATTTGTTGATTTTTTTTCTCAAAGACCACTAATCTGACACTACTTATATATGCAATCAAAGATTTGGAATCTTGAAATTTGCTCAGACAAGTGTTAACATCAAATACCACTATCTTGTTTATGAGTCAGTCCATATAAATCACTATCGGTTTTCACAAAAGCTGATCAATAGAGGTCATCCGATTTTCCTCAATTTAATATATGTTGTAGAGGTAAAAGCTCTAAGAATTTTGACGCAAGTCCTTTGAAAAAATACTGTTCCATTCTCGAGATATTGAAATTTTTCTGAGGGCACTATCGTAAAAAAAAGTGCACTTTTTGTGACATCTTTATCTCATTAAGGATACATACAATTGACTTGAAATTTTTACTGTGAACAGATATCATAATTGTGTATTACCGAAAGAAACTCAAACTCAAATGGATAAACTATTGAAGAGTTGTACTGTACTATTAGGTACACGGGAAAATAGTCATTTCCCAGTATTTTGTGCATATGCCTATCTAATGAAGAAATCGTGTTAGAGAGTTGAAATATTGGCCATGAAGAGATTTCATTGAGTACATAGTCCAGTAAAAAATATCACCATTTTAAACGGGTTCAATCTCCACTGCTGACATTTGAATGGGATCCGAGTTGGTGTGGTTTCAGAGTACACGTTGAGTGAAGCCCTCGACACATTAGAAGACTTGGAGTCTTCTCTTGTGTCGTGTCATTCACAAGTTATACGGGGGTCTTCTATTATGAAATGACAAATTCTAATTTCAATCCTTCTTTGTCCAATACACCGTTAGTAAACGAGTTTATTTTGCTTATCCCACGCTCATACAGTGGAAAAGAAACGGACAATGTCTTACTGCAAAAAGAAATGAAAACAATCGCCGGTTAGAAGAGTGTTCTTAAACCAATATACACAACGTATCCTAAAACTTTTGTGCGATTTATAACGGCACTATTAGTTCTAAAGAATACGATCCATCACTGGTGGCATTTATGTTCTATATAACTATACCCTCGGACAAAAGTCTTTCCCCCTCTTTATTTCTATACTATCATACTTTGCATCAAATTTATTACCGAGTAAAGATATGACATAAGAGTTTTATTTCAATATGGTATAGATCACACTGAAATAAAGCTCTTATGCCATATCTTTATTTGGCCATAAATTTGATGCAAAGTATGATAGCATTGAAATAAAGAAGGGGAAAGACTTTTATCCAGAGGTGAAAATAACTTAAAGAAAGAAAATAAAACCTTTTTCAATCAAAGTTATTTAAATTAGTTGCTTATATTGAGGATTGGCTCGTATAAATAGAATTGGTTTAAAACGAAATGTACCACCAACTTAGGTATTAGTTTCTAGCTAATTTGAATGAAAATGGTTGTCTACGAAGAAACAATTTACAGAAAAAGAGCGATTGAATAAACGTTGAGAGTGATTTTAGAATCTTTTATGTCTGTTTCGAAAAACAACTTGGCATCTTTATGCGAAAAGAAATATATCCTCATATATAGGAGGAGGATTTCATAAAACATGTCTCATTACAAATCCTCAGAGATTTATTTTTTCGAATTATGAATGAAATTTTCCATGATAAGAACATGTTAGAATTCCTAGAAGAAAGTGCGCAGACGAAGCGAACTATTAACTAATGGGCAATGGAATTTTACCGAAGATATTCTTATTTCAGAAAGATCTCGTCATGTGTGACACATTTGGAGGCGCACCGCGCTAATTAGGTCCTATAATCGTTGGAACGAATAATTTCGCAAAGGAAATCTAACAAGTTTCATCACAGTACGCTGCAAAGGAGCATTAAAGTGATGTCAAGACGTGCTTTTTTTTTTATTCACTGCTCTCTCCTATTAGCTGTTTCTCATGGGTTGTCCAACTCAGAGCTAACATGTTGCTAAGACGATGGAAGCAAAATATTGTCCATACTAAAACAACTTACACATTAACATATACATAAATGCTACAAAAATGAAACAGCTTTAGAAATCATTAAAAAAAAATAATTATCACAGGGGTCTTCTAAACTGTGTTTCCCTACGTTTGTCCAAAGGAGATCTTCTAATATAGGGAGGCCTTCTAATGTGTCGAGGGCTTTACTCAACGTGTACTCTGAAACTATACCAACTCGGGTTCTATTCAAATGTCAGCAGTGGAGATCGAACTCGCCTAAAATGGTAATTTTGGTCGAAAGGGTGGGTTTGGGGGTAGATATTATATGCTTGCACATCCATACCCTCAGTATATAATATCAGCATTTTAGACTTGATAAAACCTGTTTTTTTTGTCGATCTGTTTGTGATATCAAGCAAATAAACAGAGATTCAATGATAGACAAGTTTTATCGTCTTCTAGCTACAGATTATGTCAATATTGGCTATTTATATCTTAACAAGAATGTAAACTATGAAGTAGAAATAAAAAATATCTATCTTCATTATTTGAAATAATCAACATTAAAATGCAATCGTAAAAAAACTAATATTTTCTTTTTCACTCTGTTTATTTTTAGTTTCTTCTCAACATTAAATACCAATAGAGTATGTTCTATATAGAAATACATTTCGTCATTGATCTTCTATGAATAATGTCGAAATTATATGAAAATACAAAATAAAATTTATTTATTGTGTCTTCATGTTCACTACACAATATTCTGGAATGAATATATAAAATGCTCAGATATGAATAAAGCAGAAGAATAGTTCTTTTTTTTTATAAAGTTATTTTTATAATACAAAATTCAAGTAATTCTTCTGTTGTTAACACGACCTATTTTGCATTATGCATTTTCTTTTTCAAGTAATAAGTAAGTTTTATTTGATATTAAGGATATGATCATATAAATGCACACGCTGTTCTTTTCCTTCTTGTTCACATCTGCGAAAAGAAAGAGAACTGATAAAGACCAGTTCCAATTCTGAGTAAAGGTATAGAGATAAATCTGTATCCAGTTATGCTACCAGAAATTTAAATGTTGGCTATGTATGTGTATGGACGGTATGATAATTTATAAAGAAGAGAACTCTAACCTGTATGGATTATTGTAAAGGATTCAAACAATATAGTGAAATCAAATTGTACGATCTTGTATGAACGTGCAAGAATCTGTGATTGATCTCACTTTCTGATTGATTGACTTGGATCCATTCGTTTGAGCTAAAACTTTTAGAATGTAATAATTGTTATGAGATCTGTTATTGGGAGAAAGTTTCAAATGAAGGCTCGTTATTACAGTTTTTTTTTCTAATATCCTGCAATATGCTGAAAATTTAATAGAACAATCATGAAAGGCTTAAGAGCACGAACATGTTTAATGTTTTCATCATGACTATGAGTCCTACTTATGAGCTCGAACAGAGGATATCAGGTGGAGAAGTTCTCTCAATATCTATTTGCTGATAAATAGGACAAAAAAAAATGTTTGCTCATGTTTTTACTAGAGTCATACAAATTATATTTAAAAAACAACACGATTAATATATTATCTAGTTTATATTCGATCTAAAGTTTTCTTTTCTCTGAGTTATTATTCAAATCATAACACCAAGACTAGGAAATATTTGATACTTTTCGAGAAAATATCTATTTGAAAAAAATATATATCTTCACGAATTTTTAGGTGTAGTAACTGAAATTGGTGATATGATTAGATGTGTTTTTTAATTTTACATTTGATTCTTGTCGTTGTAACATTTCAGCAGCAGCATGATGAAAACCTGATTGATTAAATAAAAATGCACTAACATATCCATGAGGAATATATCGGATATGAATACCAGGTCATACATCATTCATATGTGGAATACCATCGCGTAATACATAACCATCATGTGTACAAGCAATAAACATAGCATTAGATATATTTGATTGAGCTGAACGTGAATAATTATATAAAGATGTAAATTCATCCATAAGAAGACGCATCATATCTTTAATTAGATCGAGAACAATTTTATTTGAATCTATTGATCGATTTCGTTCACGTAAATAATCATAAAATGTTTGAGAGGCTTTGTTTTCATAGAATTGTCGAGAAGGTGGATCAGGCCATCTAAAATATAAATATATACACAATGGCTGACAAAATTATTCAACTTTTATTCAATAAAAAGCCTTCCTAGAGAGTTCAAGTGCTAGATACTGAGAAATTAGGCTTTTGGGTTGTCTAAAAAAATCCTAACTTAGGGAATCGAATAATCAATGTTTTTAATTTATGTTCTTTTTGTAATATGGTTTGTTCTACTTGAATCATCATTTGAAATTATGATAGATACTATATATCCATTTATTAAATAGATCAAATAATAGAATTGAATCTTACTTTGTAAATGCTAATGAAGCCATATATCGACCAAGAGAAAAACCACGTAGAATAGCTGGTATTAATTTCATTTTTTGACACTAATGAAGTAGTATAAGTGTTTCTTAAACAAGTACTTCACCCATGATATATAAATTGGTCACATATAATAATGATGAACGAGATTGATCTTGTGGTTTTCTTAAACCATAATATGGATTTTCAAGAAGAATTGAACCTATAAGATATTAATTAACTAATGGGACTGCAGTAAATAACCTTCATCGACTAAAACCATGATCACCTGTTTCAGCATAACAAATTCCTATTGGAATTGAATCAATACCGAAACGATGATCACGTGATAGAACAAGTTGAAAATGAGCTGTAGCTACTTGAGATGGAACCTATTTAAATAAATATAACAAAAGAAAAAAGATAATATTAATTAAATGATTAAAATAATTTTAATTACTTACCAAATGTGGTAAATAATTTGCAAGTAGTGAACGAAATCGAGTATTTATATAATTTTGATTACCTTTTTGTTTCTTGTTTAATTGTTTCAACAGTATTTTCCTGTACATTTCCAACTGGTACAAGTTCTAAACACTCATCTCTTACACCAATTTTTTCACGTCGATAGGTAAAAATTCCTTGTAAATGGAATGGATTTTCCCAACCACGTACAAATGATTGAGTTAATATAAAACGTCGAAAGAGATTATCGAAATTCATCGTCCCAATCGTACTCGAATCTTTAATATTATCTAGAGAATTGTTGATCTGATCCTCTTTTTCTTTAATCGAACAAAAACCAGGACAATACAATGCTTTAGTATTCTCAATAGTTTATAAACACATACATACAAAAAAAACTCTTATATGTTCTTTTTATTGTCGTAAATCAATCTCGTTAGTTTACTATGAAAACAAAAAACAATATTTTTATTGCATAGCACCAGTAATGTTAAGTAATATTTGAGGACCATGTGGTAAATAGACTCTATTTCTTGATTTTGATAATTTGAGTTGCAATACCTTCAGCGGTTTCAATTCGTCGAAGTTCGATCAAACCTAACATGAATATTAAAACAAAGTAAGACAGGATAATAAAAGATATTCGACAATTTGCCATCACCAGCTTCATCTAAAGCTTTACAAATCAAATCAGCTGCATGAGCATCACCTTCTGCTGCAATAACATTTGCTTGACGACTTTGTTCCGTCTGTTTTTTTTTATCAAAAAAAAACAAACTCATACAAATTTTATTCCTATTGATTTACTTTTTCGACTAAAAATCGTTGTTTTTCAACATCTTGTTGTGCAACTTGTTTTAATTCAACAGCACTTGTAAATTCAGGTCTAAAACTTAAATGTGTCTAATTTAAAGAAAAAAACTATATATAATCAACTCGAGACTCTTTTTTGTTGTATCTTACAATTGAAATATCATCAAGTGATAAACCAAATTGAGTAGCACGTTCTGTTAATAATTCACTAACACGTTGAGAAATAAGTGTACGTTGTGTAATCAATTCAATAGCATCAAATTGAGACTTAGTACAACAGATTTTAAAACTTCATTAATAATCGATGATAAAACACGTTCTTCATAATCTAAACCCAAATTTGCAAAACATTTTTGGTAAAAGTTCAGCTCTTGGTCGATAAAGAATACATAATGTTATATTAATTGTTTGTAAATCTAAAATAAAAATAATAAAATGTAATTTACGCATATTTCATTTATACGAAAAAAAATAACGGAGACTTCCGGTTTTAAGTTTTATGAAGTATCCTAAGATTGGTGAATGATGAGAGTGTAGAGGTGTAAACCGATCAGTTGAGTCGCCATCGATGACCGCAAAATTTTTTAAGATATCTCAGCCATATACATTCATTGATGTTTTAATAGACATCGTATTTACCTTCTTTTTTTCGCGAGCTTACATTTTCCTCATGTTCACCTCTCTCCTGAAGTTGACTATTTTCTTCTAGCTTTTATACGTTTTATTTCTGTTATTGATGGAACAGATCGTGGTCGTGTACGAATATCAAATATAATTGCTCTATGAAGCCATGAAATCATAAAATGAGTTCTTTCTTCAATAACATCTAGTTTAACACCTTGAAAATGATCAAAAATAACATCTCGATAACCATCATCAACTAGAATATATTTATATTTAAAGAAAACAAGTATTTTTTAATCTTTTCATATTTACCTTTATAAAGCATACAATTAATCACACCACCAACAATAGCTAAACTAATATAAATTCTTCCTAAAACACTAAATTCTTCTATCGAAATAAAATATTATTAAATCAACGAGATAAAGCCATTGTCTTTTTTTTCTTGTAAAAGAAAAACATGCATAATTATAATCAAATTAAATTTGTTTAGTTGTTTTGTTTTTATTAGCAAATAGTTTCAAAAAACAAAACGAAACCATATGAAAATTCTTCGTATCTCTATCGATAGAAAAAGAAAATGTATCACTATTTAATCTATCTATCTACTACAATAACAAATCAATGTAATAAAATACATAGAAAATGATTAAATAACAATAAACTTTGAAAGCAAAAAAAAAAAATACATGCATACTTTTAAACAAATCGAAATTCACTTGAAAAAATATGAGCACCGTTTTTTTCTAGACAAAACAAAAGAAAAACAAAATGTGTATAAAGTTTAGCACCGTTCAGATATTGTTCACCATTGGGTTTTAATGAATTTGATGTATCACTGTTCTTTGCTACTGCAGCAGCAATTGCTTCGAGTGCTGGAACAGTCTATAAAGAAATTATTTATATCATAGGAAAAAAAAATGTTTTTCAATTACTCTAATTTGATTTTGTTGGAAGAAATTGTTGTGGAAATGATGCACCATCAACACGAAAATCTTCAAGATTTTTATAGTTTTTTAAAATTTCTTCAAGTTTTCGATTGATTTTTGGTTTTTGTCGAGAATATTTTAGAAATGTCCAGAATTTTTCTAAACCATATAATTGATCTAAATAGAAAAATTATTTTTGTTATTGACACTTTTTTTTTTTTTTTTTTGTGTAATCTATTTTATTACCAGCGTCATGATCACAAAGAGTTTCTTGTTGAAAATCTTCAAATACATGTTAACGAAAATGTTTTTCTATACCATACGTATAAGATCGAAATAGACATTCAACACCATATTTATACATAAATAGTAATATTCAATTTTTTTCTTATTATTTTTCATAAAAACAATTCATTTATATGCCGATGATCAGTTTTAGTATCTTGAACAGCATATTGTTTAAATTCATTGTACATATGACAATTAAAGTTTTCACATAAGAAAAATGACTAAAAACGATAGAGTGTATTCATTTTCATTGATTGACCAGGAACAAGTTTAACGCGTTATAGAAGTTAGATCATTACAGAAAACAAAATGTATTTTATTTGTAAATCAACATCATTTTAGATTATAAATATTTTCTACGAAACAATAAAATTTGGCGATTAGTGAAACTTAGTGTTTTTAATCATTGACGATTATTTTATTGCTTTTCTAATTTATCATGTAAATAAGAATGGATAGTATTTATTAAAAAAACTCCATAAAAGAGTAAAATCTTTGTTTTTTTTTTGAAAATTATAGCAATAGACATATTCTCTATTAGTTATTTAAATAAGAATATAAGTCGTTTTAGACTCTGATTTTACCGGAGAGTAGTTTTCGCTGTTGTTTTTAGATATGTTGACTGTTCTTTATTCATTAAAAGACTCGTTTTTTATACGTTCAATGCAACATAATTTCAATCTTTTTTTACCAGTAGCTTGTTTCTCTCGAAATATTGTAAATATGTACTGAACTAATAATCTTTTTTTTCTCTACAATCAACGTTTTTTTTACCATCAAGACATTCTTGTTCATATTTAAGATAAATTTGTTGAGTAAAACCATTTTGTTGTAAAAGTGTATGAGATGGATGTTGAAATTGAGGAATTTCCACCAGTGTTGAACCATAAAAATCATATCAATTTGAATTATTTTCATGCCAATAATGTGAATCATTGTATGATGATGAATATTGATCATAGAAATCTTGTTGTCGAGTTCTAAATAAGTAAAACTCATTTTATACTAATAATAATTGACATTCAATTGTTTGTATTAGGAACAAAAAATATAAGGAAATTCGTCAAAAAATAAATAAAGCAACACAAGTCGGTGGGTGTGTTTATGTTCTTCATTCACACCCACACACCCGCACCCACACCCACACCCAAAATAATTCATGATAAGTAAGTTTTCAACTTTATATAAATAAAATAGTAGTATAACTGCGAAAAAGTCAATTTAACAATAAATTCAATTTTTGTGTCATTCAAAACGAATGAGTCATTGTAGACCCATTCTGCATCTCCATAGTGAAATGACTTGGCCTAAATTTAACTACACCAATGTCATAATTAGCATTTGTAGAAACTATTCCAATGGTTGTCTCAACAATAAAGCTATTGGATGAGTGCTGGAGGTAAAGGATTAAGCAAGATTTAGTACCACAGTACAATAACATTTCATTTCCAAGTCGTGTCATATGTTTCGGTTGAACTTTAAAAACCGATTATTGTCACCGGTTTTTTATCAATTTTAAGGGTATTGAAGCTAGTCTATTTTACTTTTCATCAAAATCCTAGCTCTAAGTTTTGAACTCACATAATGATCACAGATCAGGATGAATGTATTGATTATGGTCACAAAAAATTAGCTAGTCATTAAAGGGTTTAAAATTTCAAGCTCACTTTCTGAACTACATTTAACCGACTATCAAAAACTCCTGACCTTTCGATACAAAAATATTAGAAAAGAATCTGTTCCACTGAGATAGTTATGCGAACCATTAGCATGATGCAACTGTGAAACTATCTAGATATTAGAAAATCTAAAAATATAAAGCCTAGTATAAAATCGAACTTTATAGATCATTTTATGATATTATGAAGAGTAGTATTCTTTCACAAATCAAGAAGTCTTTCAATTATGTTAAGCAATAATTTCAAATAAGACCTTAGATCAAATTTGTCAATCCTTGAGAGTTACTATACGACAAGTTTTTAAAAGAGTTCTTCCATCTTTTTTAGTATTAGCATACATAGAACATGACAGACTAAAATACAACTTGTTACTATTAGAAACTTCAAGAGTTATATGACTTTCAAGTTGTATATATTTGTAGAACTTCAATAACAGACTTTTTTTTGAAAGAACTGGTTGGTTAATTATTATGTTAAAAAGTTGTTTCAATTTAAAATTATACCGACGATTCTTTATATTACAGTTTGTATGATATTGCATCGAAAAATTTATTTCATCTGAAGACTTACTAATGGACTACTATTGAATCTGATTGTAAATAAAAACTTATACCTTGATTCTTTATCATCGAAATTCAAATTAGTATTCTTTTTTATTGTTTAATTAGCTGTTGTTCATCATTTTGGCAAAGCTCTCGATGAAAGTTATAGTTCATATGAAAGAAAAATAATCTTATGTAGACTTGCTTGTTATCCGTCATCTGATTTGTTTCTTTTAAATTTTTTAATTAAAATCTATCATATATATATGTTTATGGATGAATTAATAAAGCATAATTCATTGAAAGATAAAGTCTCAACACATACCCGACGTATTGATTTTGATACAATTATTTTCTGATTATCATGATTGTTTTTGACTATGAATATCACCTAGAACAACGACACAAATTGTAATATCTTCTTCAACAATGAATAATGAAACTGTCGCAATTGATAATGGAGATACTAGTCTTTCATGTATCTATTTTAAAGAAAAAGAAGAATGTACACCATCTGATTCACAATAAAATACAAGCGAGCCACCTATGATTGAAGTTAAGCAACAGAAAAAAATGAAAAATAGAATTGCGCCTTTTTTTCTCTATTGTTGCATATTTAGTGTGAAAATAAAACATTTGCAACATGATATTTGGTTACTTTTAATAGAAAAGATGTTCATAAATAAGATTGAAGAATAACAAAAGACTCAAAATTTAAATGTTTTAATTTTTAATCGCATATGAATATATTCAGAAGAATTATATGTAAAATTTTTATTTTATACTTTTAATTAATGTTGTAAGTGAGAGAAGTCTCATTGTTTAATATCTTAACAATTGCTATACTTTATATTCATTCTTCTTCGAATTTAAATATCCAAGAAGTTTTTTCTTACTTACCCCATAAACTATAAATGAGAGTTATAAGAACTTTACTAGGAAATTTGAGAATGAGTGTTTATTCGGAAAATTTATGTTTAATCTTAAGAAAGAATATTTACAAGTGAGACATTGAAAATTTTTATAGAAATTATTCTTCATATTTTATATTCTAGAAGTATCTTCAATATCTTGTCAATATTTATTCATTTTCATGGATGTTGTTTTGTAAATTGTCTTATTCGACGATCACTTTCAATAGTTACTAGCAACTCTATAGTACCTTCATCACTCGTACTCATTTGTATCGTCGACAGTGATCCATCTGATTCTTTACTTACACTTCGTCACACAATGCCAGCAACAATTGATATTATTGAAAAGTCATCTTCATTTTTTCAGTCTTGATCGATATGATGGTCTTGCACCTGATCATCTCGAAGTAAAAAATGTTATACATATATTTACAAAAATAGTTGAACACGAACATGTGAAAGACCTACAAGAATTTTATTATAATATTTGCTTATACTTCATCTGTTGAACGTAATTTAAATATTGTTGATGAGATAACATCAGAAAA